AAATGAGAAAGAAAAGTATTTTATCAAACTGTTTCAAACTAAACATGATATGCTAATGTATGATTAACCACTCATTGTATACTGTGACGTCACCATGTATATGACGTCAATATGTATTGTCCTTCTCCAGCACACGGCAGTTAGTCTGACATAGATGTTGATATATATAGGTTTTGTATTCGTATTTCTTTCNTTGCAAGTATCGATAACGCTTTGCCATTTTTAGATGTTTTAGTTAAAGTTGAAAACAATAAAATTTCTACAGACATTTATGCAAAACCTACCGATTCTCATAATTACTTAGATTTGTTCTCTAGTCATGCTAAACACACTAAGATCAACATACAATATAATTTAGCTACTAGATTAATAACTATAATAAATATAAGTGATTCTTATATATAAGTCTCTCTCTCTCTCTCTCTCTCTCTCTCTCTCTCTCTCTCTCTCTCTCTCATATATTTGCAGTGTATGTATACATGCATGCATCACACTTGCAGGAAAGAAGGAAACATATCATATGCTATAGTACTGTTGCCGTGGTCCACATTGTTTGTTTTGTTTTGTGACTTTGTTGTTATCTTTTATCGTCCATGGATATGAAAGTTGTTTACTCATCATTCAGGTTAATGAACTGTCCCTGTCTGTCATTTCTAGTAAATATAAACATTTGATAAATGGGCTCGTCGCTCTGTGAACTGAAACAACGACGAAAACAGATGGGGAAATCCGTTTCCCCAGCGTACGATAACGTCCTAGTCACACGGTTTTTGAGTTCAGTGTTAATAATATATATAGCCGGGCATGCATGCACGTGCACATTGATATCGTGATTAGCATTTTCCTGGCCATTATGGAACTCAGGAAAATATCCCATAAACGATATCAGTGTACACGTCCGTCACCTGTTTGTACTTAGCCCTTCCATTGTTACAGACAGGTTTCGTTTTCCTTGTTTAGTTGTACCACTCTGGTGATAGGGAAATACACACCAAAACTGTATGTTCCCCTGTCGTCAGGTTTTCGGGGAGGAAATTTGTTGTTCAATTCTAAATTAAACAAATAATGTGCTGTGTTGTGTCATGATTCGTTTCACGGAAGACCCAAATGAGCCATATGAGTTTGTTTAAGTGAGTGTATATATAACTTGAATATAGAGAATGCTCGGTATTATAGCTATGAACTATAGAAAAACAATTATTGCTCTTTAACCATCGTATCAACATGTTAGCCTCGTCCCTATTACACGGACGGGTGCATATCATGTAACGACACCAATACACAGTCGGTTGTGTATTCCGTAACGACACCCGTACACAGTCGAATTAGTAACCTGTATCTACACCGTTACAAAGCCGGTGTGTATTCTGTAAAAAAAAAAACCATTATACAGTCGGATGTATATCCTGTAACTTAACCGTTACACAGCCGGTTGTGTATCATGTTACGACACCATTACTCAGACGGGTATGTATCCTGTTGCAACGAAACCACTACACAGCCATGTGTATATCATGTAACGACACCATTACACAGCCGGGTGTGTATCCTGTAACGACACCATTACGCACGTGGGTTTGTTACCTGTAACGAAACAATTGTGCAGGCGGGTGGATATCCCGCAACGCCATCAGCACACAGACCGGTCTGTATCCTGTAGCGACACCATTACATAGCCGAGTGCATATCATGTTACGTCACCATTACACAGATGAGTTTGAATCATTTAACGACACAATTGCCCAGACGGCTGTGTATCCTTTAACGCCACCATTACACGGTCGGGTGTTTATCCTGTTACGACACAATAGCAAAGCCGGGTGTATATCATGCAACGACACCATTACGGAGACGGTTTTGTATAATTTAATGCCGTCATTACGCAAACGAGTGTGTATCGTGTAACGGCACCGTTACACATGCAGGTGCAATGCTTTAACGACAACATTACACAGCCGTTTGTGTATCATGTAACGACACTATTGCACAGCCGGGTTTATATCCTGTTACGACACCATTACACACATGTGTTGTGTATAATGTAACGACACCATTACACAGACAGGTGTATAACCTGTAACGACACAATTACCCAGGCAGGTGAATATCCAGTAACGACACCATTACACAAATTAGTTGGTATCATGTACCATCACAATTGCAGAACAACGTGTTTATCACGACAACATTACACCGAAGGGTTTGCATCCTGTAACGACACCATTACACAGATGGTTGTATATCATGTAACGACACCATTACATAGCGTGTTGTATATCATGTAACGACACCATTACACAGATGGGTTTGTATCCTGTAACGACATCATTACACAGATGGGTTTGTATCCTGTAACGACACCATTACACAGATGGGTTTGTATCCGGTAACGACACCATTACACAGATGGGTTTGTATCCTGTAACGACACCATTACACAGATGGGTTTGTATCCTGTAACGACATCGTTACACAGCCAAATGTATATCCTGTAACGACACCACTACACTGACGGGTCACGTCGATGTTCACAATTACAGTACACGGTCCAGGGCCATTTCTTAAAAACACACATTCCGTATCGTTCAGTTTAAAAGCAATCGTAAATTGTGTATCATCAGCTAATTAATGGCCTTTTAGACAAAAATGGAAGTTTCAAAATATTGTAAAACATAATTTCTTAATCTTCTCCTTTTATTTTGGTTAAATAAGAAAAGTCAACATTAGGAAACAATTTATTGAAAAGCAATTATCTTTGTCGCTACAATGGGCCTCTTCCTGTATTAGGCCGCATAAACAAGTATTCGTATCGTAACGTGTTTTGTAGACTGATCTGATTTACACTTCCGGGTAGATTTTACTACAACGACACCCTCCCACCACGACTTAATAACTCGTTACAAAGATCCAATATCATACAGACAAAAGGTTAATGCGTTTCTAAAACAAATAGATAATATTTAACCGTCTCTTGACGCAAGGTTCGTATGACGTTTGCTTCTATTATCTGTTAAGATTTCCTCAGAAAAATGATATTAATAATTATCGTATTAAAATATCAAAATGTGTGTTGCATCTGCCGTTGCTTCGACGGATCTTCAAACGGAAAAATACGCAGTAAAGAAAAAGTACCGTCTTAATTGGACAAAACTAAATGTGATATCTGCACACATTTCTCTGTATTTATTGGATTAAAATGGATATCTTCACTGCAATGAAGATATGCGTTTTAATCAGATATTTAACTCCTGACATTTCACTGCTAAATGCAATAAAGATGAATATCGTAGTAATTTACTATTATTTGTGTAGTTACATGTTGTATTCGGCCTCAATTTCCCAGAAGTCTTTCACGCATTCAGGAGCATCGGGAGTGGACACAGTGTTTACAGAATAAACCCCTGCGGTGCTTTTTGACGCATAGGAGTTTGGAAAAAAGCAGGACAGGCCGCCAGTTTGCCTAAATGTGCATCCAATTGAAAAAAATGTTTTGATATTTTCTCATAAATATTTACTTTAGATATTATCAAACAATTTATGAATTTTACAATTTTTGGATTTGTTTTGCGCTGCAATAAGGGAAATACAGCATCACAGAGCGAATGCTTCACTTAAAACAAGAATTTCAGATTTAAGTGAAATATGAAAAATTGCATAGCAGGAATTGGAACGAGGATGTCGGTTTTGCAAATATTAATAAGGCTAAACATCACATATGTTATATTGTGATAAAGAGTTATATTTGAAACAGAACAAAATCATGGTAAAAATGCAATACTACTTTTATGTATAGTAGCAATATGATTTTATTTTTTAATGAAAAAGAAGACGAGATTGAACTTATTGGTGAGCTTATGTTAAGATCGTGTTGTAGTTATACTTTCCGCAGTCTGTGTGTTAGTTCTGAAATTATTGATTCTTGCTATAAATTGACGACATTGATTTTACTTTTGGGTGTGTGCTGGTTCGAAATGATTGGGATGAAGTGAACAGATACAAGTATTGTTTTCACTTATTGACACAAAATATTGTCTGTCATCAGTATCACGAATAACCTGGTAGTATTTTTTCTACTCAAGTAGGCATGGTGTCTGTCTTTGAATATCGTCATTGCGCCTTTTCCTCCGAATATCCAAGATGTTGTTATGTCGCTGTTGATTTGGAATAATTCCTGCTTCGTCGTGTTCTTGTTCTACATCTCTATCAAGGGTCCACGTTAAATTTCTGGTTTCCAATCATTCAAAATGAATCACGGCTTGAAATCAAAAGTGAAAACAAGACAAGTCTGAATTCCTCGACCCCGATGTAAAAAAACAACGATATGCATGTGTTTGATAACTAATGAAATCTAACAATACATTTTCTTTTTCTCCAAGGACGATCAGGCTCAACATGGTTCTGTACTACAGTCTCGCTGTATATCAATACATAATACGGATACCTGCCTCCTTTGTATTTGATTCCATAAGAAACCTTATCCACATCGATTTGTCGCTGGTTGTGCTGAACGCTCAACAAAGCAATTATCCAAACTTGGAACTACCGTCCTTAGTGTCATAAAATTTTGGCCACAGTCTTATTGTAGTACTGAAGTAGAATTATTGGGATATTGTTTTTAATATCTTTGCACCCTTAATACCACCATTCATCATACTTAATAGAAGAAGATCAATGCAATGTAAACATAAAATCAAGACAATTACGTTTCTGATTGACACAACTTTGTAGTGCTCGGAGCTAGATTGTGCAACAGACTTCATTCATTAGTTTAATGATAAAGTCTTCATGAGAATCTAACGTTTGTTGATATTTTGTGGTAGTTATTTTTTTTTTGAGCTGTCAATTACGGTTATGTTAACCTCATTTTCCTTTAGTGTTTTTGTTTTCTTTGAGTGAAATTCAAAGTCTATAGAGTTATTATCCATCGATGTATTTAGTTCCTGAAAATTCAACACATATATAGCAAACACAAACACGTTTCAATCAAATGACAGTTTGTACCACGTGCATCAAAGCACAACAATACAGAATTTATTCGAAATATTTATGTAACAGTTTTAATCATGGAAGCAATTTTCAGAAGACATCTGTCAAAATGGTTTCAAACTATGGGTGTTTGAAATTATATAACAATATTCATTGCCGATGGTATAATGAGCAAATAAAAAGGCGACAGGGGTTCGATCCCCGATGTCGTCGTACACATGAATATTCAGAGAAATGTGTTTTTTCTCCTGCCCACACAACTCGAACAACCCAGGTGGATTACAAAATGGTATGGGGTGGATGCTGCGGTATCTGTGCTGTATCATTCAAGTGAGGTGGCAATATAAATGATACCGTTGGAAGCACGGTTCCATAACAAAAATAACACACCGCATTTCCAGCACACACACAGGCATACACACATAGAGAGATATTAGCAAGGTGACATATGACTAGTATTTCGCGCTTGATAAGGCAGCTCCTACGAATTCCTCAAAATTGTATTGGTTAATGTATATCTGCTAATTGTATTAGTTGTATATGTACTGTATAGCGCTTTTGAGTGGCTAATGCTAGCTAGATAGGGCGATGTATCAAATGTATACTATTATTATTATTATTATTAACGGAGATTGAAAGCTTAAATTGATATGCCAACCTCTGCTTGCTTTTAAATGGTATCTGTATATATCGTTAAAATCTATTGAAAAAGCAAATTAGTCATTAAACTCATTTTATAAAACGTCATTTAAACTGTGTTGATTATCAAACATTATTGTCTGTTTTATATGATACATCTTACCGATAGTCGACCGACAAAGCAAAATCCTTCCCCAAAGAATAACGTTGGTACGTTGTGTTGATTCCTGGTGAACTGAACATGCCCCAGTTACCAGGTTTCACATTTAGGTTTTAGCTAATTCTGTATTGTCCAGTCGTACTCGTTATGTGTTCTAAAAATAGAACGCTTATTCCCAGCGACAAAACCCATTCGGGTTCGTTACTAATGTTTATAATCATACACATTAATGTGATTAAGTAAGGTTATTTGCATTGTGACCCATATTAGTATATCATGTATATTTTGGTCATCACATGAGTTTGACTTTCTGTCAATATAGTATCCTCTGATAAAATAGTCTGCATGCACAATTATAGTATAGGGATTTTGTTTGCATGAATACTATCACATGCATGTTATATTTACAGAACGTCAAACTCTGGTGGTGTTATAAACATAACGTATGACCCATATCAGTATGCCTCTAATGGTATGTGTACATACTAAAAAGATACATTTTAATGAACCACTGTGTTAACGCAGATACCTAGTCGCTGCATATTCATTGATATGATGCAATTAAGAAGATTCGGAGGAAATATTTACTACTACAGGAATCAACAGGATTTATAATGATTCTTACTTCACATACACTGTACCACAATAACTCTGGTGTTTCTAAAGTATGGACAGGTCCTAGTCCTAGTAGGTAAAGGATGGTTTATTGAGTGTGAAGGGAAGATTTATACAATGTTCTACATTTTGGAACTCGAAAACAATATATGTTCAGTGTTTTGTTTAAAATCTAATAAATTTTTCATACTACACCGTCATGTTCATGTTGCTATAGTATAAAATAAACAAAAGTGTGATTGATGCTCCTATAACTACCTAGCCCAGAATACCTTGCCCTTTATTTTCTGTTTGTTTTCTAGAGAGGAAACATAATCTGATTTTTTTGATTTTTTTTTATAAAAATGATTGACATGTTAATCAATTGTTAATCCCTACCCGTCATTACCATTAAATTTCTCAACATTTTTGTCATGCGCCTACACTGACTACAACAATATGTGTTTGGACAGATGATTGTTGTTTTTCTGCCTTATTGTAGAAAATGGTGGAAAAATACTGGTTAGAAAAAAACTGTTAGCATTATTCATTTACTCGGCCTTTAAAGTTACCACAATCGTTCCAAACATTTTAATATCGTCCTGAGGCGTAAACCGTTATGGACATGTGTTTTCCTATAAAAGGACATAAATATAGTTTTAAGACGTAGTATGTGATTCATAAATTGGACATTGAACAACCTCACTTTTTTTTGCTTGAAATGTTAAGTTGCATTAATGTTTATATACAGTAGATGTTATAATTGCATATTTGTAAACATGTTGTCATAAACAGCGAATAATTAGGTATTTGTTGCATTAGTATATTTGACAAAAAAATAGCACCATTCCATCCGTTTAAAACATTGCATGTCATTTAACCTGTACATATTTAACATCTTAGAGTCACGAATGACACATTTTAGATGAAAGAAAATACACTTCTGCCATCTGGGTTAAATCAGTTGACCAATGATGGGTTCCCAAACATCAAACTTCCGTAGTTTGGTCGCTGTCTATCCGTCCTTAATGAGTGACATGTTGATATAGCTTTATTTTGAGCTTGAACCTAAATGTAAAGCAAAAGGAAATCGTTATTCTTTATCCAAAACGAAAAGTGTCTAAAATAAAATGATCTTACATTGCTACAGTTTCATTTGTTGGTGTTTGCAACTTTTGAAATTATTGATTAAATGTTTCCAAACAGTTTGTATTTTAATGAACACTTAAATGCATCTTTGTTATAGTAATAGAGCAAAAGAATGTATGATAGAAATTACAAGCGAAATATATTTAGACATAATATATAAGGGAACACTGCATTTCATTATTGATCATTTCATAAAATCAACACGAATCGTTTTCCAAAATAAGTAGCCATGTCGTTTTTTACCCAAAAATGATGTTTTGTTATGTTCTGAAAAGGCACAATAATGATATACCCGTCTTATGTGTCATATAGGTAAAATACAATTTGTATATAAGAAGTAGATGAAGGTAAACTATAAAAGGAAAACCCTCATATCAACGTACTTTTTAATCTAACCCGTTTATTACGTAAACGGACAAACCTACTTGTGTGCTTCAGACATATATTCGTCAGCACAAAGATGGAATAATGTGCGCCATGTATTGTGAATGCATACACGCGTATTGCAGTGCATGAAGAGTGTCATCCTCACCTCTCCTTTCCTTGAGTTCCTCGTATACATTTGGACCCGATACTTCTCCCAGTGTTTCATAATTGCTAAAAACAGAATCATAAGCCAAGTAAGTGAATTGCATACGTAGTCAATTTCATTTTAAATATTCATAGTGCCGATTTATTTGTGTTTTGTTTAAAATTAGTTTTACCACAAAACTGTTCTATGTCTGCAACATTTGTTTCAAATGTGTAATTTCCTCTTTTTTTTTTTACTTCTGCATAGAGGCAGACTATATATTATTTATTATCGCATTTACATGTGCTTCTATTTCTGTTCACTTGCATAGTTTTAAAATGTGTCGTGCATTTAACAAATTTATATTACCTTCTTTCTGCTCTTCCGTCCAAGACAATATCTACATCAACAAAAACATATTTTAATGAATGCTGATTTGAGATAGAAAATCTTGGGGTAAAAAATCATTAATCTGAAGCAAAAATACAACATTTGTAATGTACCGATACTTTTAGATAATAACTACGTATTATTGGACGATAAACCACGCGCGGGCTTGTATTAGTTGACAACATAATTAGCTAGTGAAACGCTCTCCCAACAACGTTCCGGGTATAGCAAATCCAAATAAGTTCTTGGGACTGATTTCCATTGTCCAATTGGGGTACAATGTTATACCTTGGGCGAATTGTTAACGAAAAAAAAACCAACAGTTTCGATCTAACCCTTAGGTGCACTAACCCTCTGTTGAGCTCATGACCAAGGAGGTGACTTGAAGTGGTTTTATGCATCTGTTAATGTTGGTTCCATATGAAATCAGACATTATCGACAGATTGATGTCTTTATCGATTTAATATTTATATATCATACAGTAGGATTACACTATGTAGTGTTTGTCATATGTTAATATAAAACAACTCGTTGGGATTACGGACCCCCATACAATGGAGATCAGGTCACCAAGGCTTTATGTGCCAGGTGCTTCACTACCATCAGCCATACATAAATTGTCTCATTATTCGTGGGAAACGCTCATGCAGCGGGCACGATTAATATCTGCTGGTTTTATCGTTTCTCGTATATTTCTGATACATCAACAGACTATTAGGCATATATCGCATTATCAAATATGTTGTGGTCAAACAGGCAGAACAGGACAACTACCTCTTGTGTTATAGATGATAACATTACGCGGCTTGTTTTGAAATGAAACAAGCACCAGGTGACAAATGTTTGCAAGCGCACAAGAACAGTCTAATTGACATAATATAATGTCCTGGGTTATGGACAATGGGATTGCCACAAACACACTTGCATTACATTTTACTTTGTCAAATAGACAAGATTACACTATGTGTGTATTGTGGTGATATATGTAGCTTGAGATTCGACAACAGCGATAAACTAATTTAATGAGGCCTAGCGGCCTTCCTGAATCAATCTGCCGAGGTTTTATCATCGTTGTTATATGTTCAACCATAATAAACGAACACAGGTTGATATTTCCTTAATCGTATCATTCTGATCAATTTACAATACAAACTAATTTCTGGTTGAGTTGCTAGAGTTTTTCAAAGTTTCCTATCTTTTGTTTTCAGGATAATGTTTCTGTAACTTGCATAACTGAATCCCCCAAACTGTGATGCAAAGTTTTGGATGGACACATTTGAAACTTTTCTCGGGTCATTTCAAAATGAGAACAAATAACTTGTTTTAATTGGTGATTCAATTAAGGATTGGATTCTGTTTTGTTGAGGTTAATGGGGTATAAACCTCAATGGGTCTTGAGACAATTTTTATGAACTGCAAAACAGTTCATTTTGAATTTGTCTCAAGACCAATTGAGGTTTATACCTCATAAACGTCAACAAAATGGGATTATATTCAGAGCGATGATCTTTGTTCGGATAATTTGTAAAATATCGGTCTTGTGCAAGTCTAACACCACGGAAGGTATTAAAACGTATGACGTCATCACTCACTGTGAGACGTCGTCCTGGTAAGATTAATAAGCAAATTAAGATGTAAATTATTATTTGAATTCAAATGAATACTTCTGACAAAAAAAAAATATAAATTGAAAACAATCTATGAGTGGAACTACTTCCCGCGCTCCGCGAAATAACAGAGTAATCAGGTTGATAATATGCTGATGTATTCATACGCCAACTGAAAAGTTCATTGAAAAATAACCTTTAAAATGTTAAATAGTATATTGAGTCCAAGTTCAGTAGAAATGTAGATATAAATAAATGTATTATAAGACAACACTTGTGATCTCAGTGACCTTATGGGAAACCTACAAACGCATCAAATGGTAAAGGAACCAACCCGTAGTACTGCTGATACAGAGACACTGATTGGTAATGTATACGTGTCGGCACCGGAATTTATTAGAGTGGTAAAGGTAGTGCAAAAATGGTCTTAGTGACCACTACCCTGTGTGTGTTATACGTAAAAACACATTTGGTTCGATATTTGCACATACTAAAATGGTGTATAGATCATTTAAAACTTTGACAAAACGAAATTTAGAAGTGATATACCCAGTGCTCATTGGTCGACAATTGAAGCATTTTCTGATGTGGATGAGGTGTTTGAAGCATGACTACATCAATTTAATTGAAATTTAGAATATTATGTTTTAAATGTGTAAATGGATTAATACCAAATTACTTAGCAGACAGTTTTTGTCTGGCTAGGAATGTCCATATGCAAATAAAATATGTGTTCCAAAACACAGAACAACATTTTATTCCAAACATGTGTTTTTTTGCTGGTATTAATCTTTGGAGTGGACTTCTAGAAGAATTGAAGAATGTCAATACATTTAACAATTTTAAACAGAATGTTTTCAAACTTTTTCATACATTATAATAGTAGCTTTTATAATGAAGTTTTAAAGTATGCTACATTAGCGTATAACTAGGTTTTTTTTATGTTTTGCCATGTTAACATATATGTTAATTAGGCATGTGCCATTTAATTGATGAAACAACTTTGCATGATAATGTTAAGGCAATCGTGTCTTAGAATGTTATGATACAATATATTGTATGCTATTTTGTGTTTCTTATATGTATATATATATAATTTAACTCATAATTAACACATACACTTTACTAACAAGAGGACCATGTGGAAGGTTAGCCCATGGCTAAACATGTATTTATCCTAAATAAAGAATGTTATTATTAGTATTATTATTATTATGAATACAAAGCATACCGTGTGCAGGTCTCGCTTGGTCGTACACGTTTTGTGCTGCAAAGTCTGTCGTATCCAATTCAGTATACATACTTCTGCAATAGAAAACCCCCATGTAATTGATTGCGTTGTCATAATCCATTATTTTTATGCATTCATGATTTCAATTTAGCAAATTATTCAGAAATATATTTTAAGTATATGTAAAGTGCAAAATGCTAATTTAACTATATCCATTCGTCCTGAATTAATTATACATGCCACATTGATACATCTTACTATTGTGTATAAATACAAGTTATTTCCATATTTCAAATCCAATTCCAATTTACCCTATTTAAATTTTAATAAATTGCAACAGTTAATATTATTTAATCTTATTAGGCAGGTCAAATTCGCAATTCTGGGAAAACTTGTTTAACAAAATTAATTAATTATTGGAAATTTGTTTCAGGTTGGATTAATACTTTTCATTTGAATTTATTTTAAAGTTTGACTTCCGAATTGTATGCTTCGATTAGTTATTTTTTTATATATAACACTGAGTTTGGACAAGAGCTACCCGATACAATCAATATCAATACAATTATGTTTAGACTCTGGTTGAAAAAGGAACAAAACCGAATAAATTTAATTTTCTGCTATTAGCAGCTGTCATTTATAATGAATTCAGTAATGCATTAATGAGTTTTCTGGATTCAACGAGGTTTGACTTTAAATGCTAGTTTTATAACATAGATAATTACCGTTCCTGACCAGATGCTATTCCTGCCATTGCTGTAAAATATAAATTGAAACAAAGTTAGTATTATCATTATTATGATAAACATTGGTTTACGAATATTTCCTTTTCTCTGTTATAATAATATTCTTATAAACATTCCAATTAAAAACTGAACGTCACCTCATTAAGTCATATATAATAAATCGCTTAAAGATTCAGTCTACAGCTATTGATATTATGGTAGCACATACCGTTTCCGGAATCTTCGATGCTTGAGAACGGTTGAGGGGACGTGTTTGGCCTATTCATCCGCCGTTTCCTTGATAACAGATACGATTTAATTTAACCTATGAAACATATAGATAAAGCACACTCATCAAATAAATGCAATAGTAGTATCAATTACGTATAAATTGAATCAAATGCATATGTTTTACTTACATAAATGGAAGGTGTCCAAATCCTGCAAAAACAAATATCGAAAGAGGGAACATTAAGCAGTTAAACACAGTGGATTACTATCATAATAACATCGGATTATCAGAATGATAATCACAAATACACTTATGATACTAAAATTATCAAATTACATGATCATGTAATCGCCGATTCAGTGTAGAACCGTTCGTGACGACAGTTCCAGGACTATGTTACCTAAATCGATACATACAGATGTGTACCCTGCTCCACAGGAGATTATGAAACTGAGTCGCCGCTCTTGTGAAAGTGAAACACTTTGCAAATCAAGAAAATGTGGATGTGTGAGCGGTAAACTACCGTGCACTGTATTTTGCGGGTGTCATGCTGAAGACTGTTATAACAAACTGACTAAATGTGAGGTATCCTTTATTATGATATTATATTGAAGGTCTGCAATGATATTGTCACCATTTGGATCTAACAAGCGTGTCATTCAGAAGTACAGCAAAATGTTAACAGATTGGCAACGGCCATATTCGAATATGCAAATTAAACTAATACATTTAAACTGTAATATAAGATGTATTATTTGGTACCTCTATTTTTTCAAAAAACTAAAACAAATCATTTAAGGTGTATCCACAATTGTATCCAAAATGTGGTGACATAAAACCGGGGTCTCGAGCGGTTTGACGGCGGCCATCTTGAAATTATGCAAATGAAGGATTTGCTCAATAATCATACAAGTTATTCCAATGAGTTCCTTATGTCTAACAGCCCCATTAAAACATTTTAGGTCCTAGCCCTAACCCTTACCCTTCTAGATGCCGAGATATCTTAAATATAGTATATTCAATAGAACAATGGCGGTCATCTTGGTTTTTTTAAACAAATTAAAAAAAAATCCCAAATGTGAAAGGGTGTCTTCAAGTGGATTGTAAATAGTTATGGTCTCAGTGACCCAAACTAATAAAAAATAGTGGATACTCTACTTCCTGGTATACTCCTAAAATCCCACTTGGCTGCCAGAATATAACGGTTGTGTTGATGTTTACTTACGTGTCACAAACACACCAATCCCTAGGTTGATGAGCAGTATGATAACGGAGACACAGGTAAGAACAATGGAGGTAACGAACATTTGTCTATAAAATGGACAGGCGTCATCACAAACTGAAATAATACCATAATAAATACAATTTATACAGGTCGTACAAAATACATGAACTGGCCATTTTCTATCTGTTAATTGGGTTATCGTATATTCATCGTGCATACATCAATCAGAATTGTTTTACTTACAATCTTAGAATATTGACCAAATGTTCCTATACAAGTTATATGTATGTATATTTAGCGTGCTATGCATCATTTCTTAAAGGTGACATTACAGTTGTTGTCATACAATACAATATTCTGAGTCCATCAGGTATATGTACCCTGATATAATTATGGGTATTATAGGTGTACTAGTAGTGTAGGGTGCTATAACATACTAACGCTGTACCACTAAGTGTCTTGATTCTTGGGGAAATATTTGAGAGCTTATGCATGTAACTAATATCTAAGGGCTTTAGTTAAACTTAATTTTTAATATGCATGCTTACATGTAATGCTTGTGTTGCTAATCGGCAATAATAGTATCCATATACCAGTGTGCATATGAAGTATCTGATTTCAAGAGGGGGTAGCGCCTATGTAGATATTTCCGAGGTTTTCCATTTAGTAAATACCTATAATATGTGCTGCAAACATTGCTCATAATTATTGTTTTAATGACTGATTTCCTTCGCGAAAACTTAAACCAAATGACAAGGATACATTTTGGTGTCACGTCACAATCATGTGAAATTGCGGTAAACTGTTCGAAACGCTTTCATGTTTTGAATCGCCTATTTTATCAGTTGGCAGGAACCGACGAATTCCATCCAGTAGGAGTTTGGCTACTGGAGTAATACAGCCAAAATACTGTCCGCATCACTTAAGTCGTCCGAATCATAAGGATACATTTTAACTTTTGGACGGCTTTACCAGTTTAGATATAGCTTTGATCATTGTTACAGTCTCTGCTGGGTGAACAGCAAGCTTAAATATGTATGTATTGCTTATTTGGTGAATAGAAGATAGCCTTTGATTATATTGCCGCAAATTGAGTTTTACTGAATTAAGTATTTGTTTGTATCTACCAACCCTAGTGGACGCGATATATGTTCTGCTACTTCGTGGAAGCAGAAAAACAAGAGGCCCAAGGGCTTTAATAGCTCAACTGGTAATTTATTTTCAATCAAAACCTGCCGAGTACCATACAAGTTTATTTAATAATACGAAAAGTACAAGTAGTTAAAAGAACTACATTAGAATACATTTCCCCAGTTGGGGCCAGCCCTNATAGTTGATGAGTGGACCATCAACTAATGTTCGGGAACCATGCCCCAATTTTCGGGAACCAATGTTTCATCTAAGATTAGGTGTTATGTTCCTGAAAATTAGTGCATGTTTCTGAAAAATAGTCCATGGCCCGATGAGTTAGACATGGTTTAAAAATGCAGATGATGCTCTAATAATTTAGACAACGTTACCAAAATTAAGGCCATGTATTTACAACTTAGATGGAACTACATTAAATTAGACCATGATTTTATAATGTAGGTTGTACCATTCTATAACCTGTTCTAATTATTTCATAGTGACATGAATATTCTATAGTGCTTTGTTAAATACATTTAAAGAGAATCAACTTCAATAATATATAATAACAACTACATTTTTCTATATGAATCCATATCATATTCTGAAATTTTACAAAATGTTTATATCTTGGTAACTTATCCTAGGTTTCCAATGTGTTTATACACAGGGACTTTTTCCCTTGGATTTTATGTAGAATGGGTTGTCAATAAATATACATGATTTATTTAATTGTTAATATCTAAAACATAAACAGAAAATGATTAAACAAAAGTTGTAAAATGTCAATTTCACAAGCTAAATTGGAGTTATCTCCCCTGCACTGTTTAATTGGCTTGTTATGACAGAATATATGTAATGTTTGTAAATAAGTTTGGAAAGGACTGAAATAGGCCTAGCCTGATGTCCAATGCAATTGACATATATAAAGTCAATAAAATCTGATGAAATGAACATTTGGTTTCCTTTATTTCCCCTAATAAGCCCCGTGCATCTGCCAACAGGGGAGGGGGAGGGCTACACCATCCGGTTGTACAAACTTGGGGCGCCTTTGTTCAAAGATGCATTATAATAAATTTGAAAAGCGTAAGTTCTGTCATAGAGTCACATTTCTTTCAAACCTCAATCAGTACAACTGCATCACTATCAAGTTAATGGTCAGCAACAACAATTGGTATTTCAGTGTAAATTATGCTGTGTTTCGTATTTTGGAAACCATGTTGATAATTTGGAAATATTAGAGTGTATGTATTGGTTTCCACACATAATGCTTATGACGGACTGAGATTTCAATTAATCATAAGGAAAATACCCAAGGAGAAAGACTTTGTAATACTGTACATTCCAGTCCTAAAAGAAAATACCTAAAGTTGTAAAAAAATAAATGTTTTTTATTTAAGATATTTTGATGTTCAATTTTTTTTCCAGCTTTATCTTACTTTTGAAACAGATTGCATTGGTAAGATAAGTATTTCGAACTTTATATTAAAATTAAACATTTTTAAACGTTGAAATAATATTAAAACCACACGGTTATTTTCAAGTTTGTATATAGCATCGCATGTTTTGTATATTGACGATAAAAATTAAACGTTATTGGATGTCATTTCGACATTATTAAACAGTTCAATTTTGGAATCATTAAACTACTATAAATCCTTGACTTCACTCACATTGTATAGACACCTTGGTTGTTGTATCATACTCTCCGAATTCATTCCCAGCTGTACACCGGTAAGTCCCGTGTTCTGATCTGTCCAGTTGTCCCAGTGACAACACAGCTGAGGCAGTAAAGTTGGTGTTGTCAGGTTTTGTCCAGAAAAAGGTACAGTCAGGTCTACAGTCAGCTGTACAGGTGATGTCCGGTAACGTGTCCCCCTCGTTCCTGGTGTAGGCAGTGTCAGGTGGGGACAAAGCTACCGCTGCTCCAGGACCATCTGCAATATAAGTTATATGTCNGACAGAATATATGTAATGTTTGTAAATAAGTTTGGAAAGGACTGAAATAGGCCTAGCCTGATGTCTAATGCAATTGACATATATAAAGTCAATAAAATCTGATGAAATGAACNAATAGAGCACATATATGTCACATATGCGAGAATTCATGGCGCTACAGCAGGTCTGTGCATTTTTCAATCCGGTCTAGATATGTAATTCATATAGATGTTTTGCACGTTTATTTCTCTTTTAAATTAGAATTATTTCTCACGAAAACAAAAAAAGTAAATACGTGCATCTGACGATAACAGTGACGTCACTAGATGTCTGACTCCCGTACGCGTTGCTAACGGTGCACCTATACACTCACACCTGACCACGTTGTATGTCTGTGAGCTGAAGAACTGTCCCTGTTGTGTAGGTCTGTCCGCCCTTTGTCCAGCTATAGTAACAGGTAGGGTAACAGTCAAAAGAACACGTGATAGTAGGTACAGATTGACCCTCCGTAATAGTGTAGGACTGAGTCGTTGGAGCAAGACCAACCGAGGCAGGTCCATCTGGAATTACATGTAGGTCAGATCTGTCCGTGAAATATCAATGTCAAACGCTAAGAAAACATGGTCCTCGGAAATAAACACAATATAATTAAATTGATTAATGCAGACATAAAAACTATTATGTACTTTCCCAAAACCTTAATTCGTTCCCGTCAAGCCCGTTTCCGCTTGCAAATCACTTGATTATGGTACATAAGAAGCATGTAAACTTCCAGTGCAAAAGTAAGTTAGTATCAAGCCAAGTTTATCAAAGCAAAAGAATGGCAAAGAGGTATAGTGCTTTAGGTACGCTTAGCACCTATTTCAGTTCTCCGAATGTACGTGCATTTAGTTAATCCGTATATAAAGAATAGTATAATAGTATGTACGCTCCATGTCTGTTAATGCGTATATGATAATTTTTCGTGGTAATATGAATAGTTCATAGAAATACAAGAAAAACATAAATAATTGATTAAACAAACATAAATTGCTAATTGATGTTTGACATATAAGATTATAATTACATTTTTATTATGTAAAAGGTATTTAATATACATGTAACATAGGTAATATCGTTTAGGTTTTCACGGACGATATTGATTAATTGTCTATTGATATAATGTATAAGACATTCTGCGTGTCATTTTATGAAATACGTTCGTTCTCCTAATCTCAAACATTTACAATATCAAGTTATAAAATAATCTAACACGCAACTCTTAATGAATTTTAAAAGTTAATTGTAAAAAAACAACCATAACTTAAAAGTATATATATATAAAGCAGAAAAAATATCCTTACGGACATGAAATATTATAAAAAAGAAAAATTATCAACACGAGTCTTTAGTATGTTCATCTCGTCAAGGATATTCTTCAGAAAAAAGTATGTATTCTCCGGGAAACTGACACGAACCTTCTACTTTTGGACTACCAAACAATACTTTCAGATACGGGGATCCGACTGTTAACATTTCATATAAGTGTTCAGGATAGAATGCAGTGACCTGATACAATATTTGGTCCTATTTTGTTTCAATGTTTCGGTGACAGTGCATGCCTGTAACATTTTTTAAACATAAGATTTTATATTTTTATGATAGTTGATTAAGTCCAACAGCCTTAAACTTGGTGCCTGAATGCTCTTTATGTCAAAAACGCATTTCAAGTCGGGAAAACCCACATGTTTAATTGCAAATTGTTCAAAGAAGCAACTGTGACTGCCTGTAAAATTGAATACATAATATATCCCATATTTTGTCCGATTAAGAACATGGGTTTTATACTAGATCCAAGTAAAATATCTAAATTTTCAAAATAAAATACATTTCATTTTTTTTATCTTACTATTTAGGTCGAAACGGACGAGTGCACCATATTTCCTTGGCGGGAAATATATGAAATGGTACATTTTCAATGTCATGGATATCTACCGATGACATTGCAATAGCCTCTCGTTAGACATGCAGTCTGAAACTGTATTTCTATGTTTTTGCATAGTGTTGTGTTGAAAGGTAAGATTTTAAGCTCACCTGCCCGAAGGGCAAGTGAGCTTATGTCATGGTGCGGCCTCCGTCGTTCGTCAATATTTCCTTTAAACGACTTCTACTGAAGAACTGAAAAGCATATAATCTTCAAATTAGGCTGGTAGCTTCCTGGAAAAGAGCCCGACAAAGATTGCAAATGAAAATGACCTTGACCTACTTTCAAGGTCACAGGGGTCAAATTTGTCAAACACTTCAAACGACTTCAAAGTTATATAAGGCCCAGTGTCATGCTATTTGGCCAATGGGTACCTGGGATGGAAAGCTCTTCATTAATATGCTCCTAACCTACTTCTAATGTCTTAAGGGTCAAATATTTTAAAACCTTTAAACAACAATAACTTAAGAATCATTTGGTCTACAGTCATGATACCTGGGTATGTTATGTAGACCTGCTGTGTGAATCGTTTTCTATGTTACAGTAATGAGGTCAAATTTCAACTTTAAGTGCTAGCCGGAGTCAAAGGTCGACATGGGTTAAAAGCTTTAAGATTCAAATTTCAAATTTCAACAACAATATTTTAAGAACCGTTTAAGAGATGTTAAAATGTCTCGTGATTTAGTTCCCAAATTTGGTCTGGAGTTACCTATATGTCAGTTTCATGTAACAAAAAAACAGGTGAACGATACAGGCCCTCTGGACCTCTTGTCTGTCGATAACCGCAAGTACATATCCCTTATCACGTGACATGTGTGTGTAGATACCATAATAAAACAAAGTCAGCTGTGACATAACACCTATTGTTCAAATATCCATAATAAATAATGGGTATTTTTTTCGAGAAAAAAGTAACAATCTTTATCACAAATCACTGTTCCAAGTCATCTTAACTTTCAACGGCTTTGTCGCCATGTTGTAGATTATGCTACCGCAATATATTTGGGGATGAAAACAACGAAGAGAAACAAATCAGAGTGAACAAATATATTAAGGAGACCGATATCTATATATATATATAACACTACCAGTGTCAAATTGCATATACGTTATAAACATATAACAGGACAGCGATTAGGTTGGTTTTGGGGATGTGACTCATGTTCAGTATATATACCTTATGCTGTTGACATGTGATTGCTGATTTTTTATTTTTATTTTTTTGTAAGTATTTTAGGTTTCGATAATATCACCATATGCATAATACATCATATACTTTTGAATGTATATTATATCCCTAGTTTGTTTAAACCGGACAACACTGAATCGTTCATGAATCAATGAGATGTGAGAGAAATTTCAAGGGTATGATTCCAAGGAAAAATTGTTTTGATATAAAATATACTTACATTGTACGTTTACACTGGTAGTGATACTTGACGTCCCGATAACATTCCCAGCAGTGCATCTGTACGTTCCGTGTTCTGATCTGTTCAGTTGTCCAAGTGACAACACAGCTGAGGCAGTAAAGTTGGTGTTGTCAGGTTTTGTCCAGACAAAGGTACAGTCAGGTCTACAGTCAGCTGTACAGGTGATGTCCGGTAACGTGTCCCCCTCGTTCCTGGTGTAGGAAGTGTCAGGTGGGGACAAAGCTACGGCTGCTCCAGGACCATCTACATGCACATTTGTAGTTGTCACATACATATTACTTAGTTCATTTGGGAACCTTAGAGAAACCTGACAATAAATATCATTGTCGAAATGTTATTTAAATGGTGGAAGCAGTAATCATGAATTATAACTAAATGCTGAATGAATCTTCAATCAAAACGGTTAACAGATATCTGCTTTTTGGAGCATTTTAACTAGTTCGGCAAGCAATCCAGAAATTTTAACGAATGCCATCTGATGAAAAGGGGTTCCATTATGATAGAGACTGTCTGTGCTGTAGGAGGTCAGCACATGTTGCGACCGAAAGGGAGAGTTTTGATTTGCCAATGGGTTTAAGGACAGTTTTTTTTACAAATTTTGTAATAAGAGAGGAGATGCATGGGCAGACATAGTGAAAGGTAGTGTTTTGCATGGTCATGACCTGCATGCTGCAGATGCAGTGTGTCACAAGTGTGTAGCGTTAATTTCCATACCAAGAGACAAATGCCAGCAGATCATCAGACCAGCGAAACTGAGGTCAAAAACCCAAAATCGGGTCGGCCACAAGACAAAGAAAGAGTCGATGCCTTTTTAGAAGTTGCGAACTTCCTTGAAAAAAATGACGATGCACAGATCACGATCAATAATCTTGTTAGCCGGATGAAAAACAACCTCAAAGGCTCAGAACTTTAAGCATATGGCTACACTCATATGAAGTCCAAACTGAAGGAACATTTTGATAACAAAATAATCCAAACCGAAATTAATTGGAAGACAAATGTGCTTATCTTCAAAAGCACAGTCGAAGCGATCCTTCATGACTTTTATGCTCACAGGAAAGCTGATCCCGAAACAGAGAGGAAGAGGATCATCGAGACATCGATCATCAAAGATGACATAAAATCAGTGAAAACATTCCATGATGTATATCCTAAGTGTGACTCACTGAAGTCTGAAAAGGATGCCATCAAATTTCTTCCAGAAAGCCTCAGGGTTCTACTGAAAGGGTTGCTTGTGGGCAAAAATGTCGGAATGAAAACTTTCTCCATAGGACAAGCAATCATGTAGACGACCCGACCAAGAGTTATTCTGGCGCCACTGCAGAAAGGGCTAGGAATCCAGGTCCGCCACCACTTTTCATCACGTTTCTTGGTCGATACTCTTCACCAGCTAGGATTCTGCTGCTCCTGCAAGGAGGTGCAAACATAGAACTGACATTCCTTGCTTCTCCGGTGAGTTCATACAGTAAGCCGCTGACAATGTGGACCACAACATTCGAACCCTAGATGGCAACAACACCTTCCATGCCAGGGAGATGATTGCTGCCGTGAACCAGCTATCCAGTCCATCAATCCAATCCTCAGAGCAAAGGTCACCCCTCATGAAATATCCATGGTGAGTAAAGTTCCAATCCTGTTCCACAAGGAAAAGGTCGTGGTACAGACGCAGTAACGTACCAGGAGCTTGTCACCATTGAGGCACAAAGCCGAACAGCAGACCTGGACCTCATATGGAAGACAGCCATCATGTTTGCCTCACCAAGGCCAACATGGTCTGGTATGATGCAGATTTTACAGCGTCTTTCTCCCAATGATTGACCTGGATCCCAGTGACGCATCTTCTCCACACTGACGTTTGTAAGTGAACATGCCCGCCGCAATGATACCACACCCATCACTACGTTTGATCAACCGCTGCTGATCATTGGTGCTGAGCCAGAAGGAAGCGACCTGAAGAACATAGTCCTGAGACTTGGAGGCTTCCACACTGATATGAGCTTCCTGGAGGCCATTGGGCATTTAATGGCTAGATCTGGATTAGAAGAAATTATGAAACTAGTCTATGCAGCCAACGCTGTGGTACACATGATGACAGCGAAGGCAATTACAAGGGCTGTCGACGACTTCCTCAATGCCATGATTGTGTCCGACGCACTTGATGTGGCTCAGCAGCCTGGGGTGTTAGAAGATGTGGCTCTAGTTCAGCAGCCTGTAGAGCTTGAAGACGTGACTTTCCGTCAGCAGCCTGGAGAGCCAGAATATGTGACTCTCCCTCAGCAACTTGGAAAGCCAGAAGATGCTGATTCACAGGAAGCACTGACGCACCGATGAGACCAGATGAAGATACTCCAGCTAGAGATGTAATAGGAAACCCTGATCTGAATGAAGTTGCTGTCCTCTATGCACATGTGATGGAGGGATCATTGCCTGTAGAGGAGGCTTGTTGGACTGATGTTGTGCTCAGAATAAAGGAACTGATCAGAAACAAGAAAGAATCCCTGATATCCTCTAGTAGGACTACTGCCCTATGGTTGCAGTACATCGATATGGTAGACATACTGCGCAAGTTTCCGAGAGCAGAACGTACAGGAAACTGGGCACTGCACATTGATTCCTTTCATGAAAGCATCTGGGCACAATATCTATACGAAATCGGCTCGGATATATGTGCAGCGAATGTGCAAGTTTCAGGTGGAACATCAATATATCTACCTGGGTTTGAAGAGGGATACCATGTGGTCGGAAGAAATGATCGCATATGGGCTGGCCTCTCAGTAGATCTCATCATCGAACAGGTGCTGATGAGGGGCATGCAGACCAGTGGTGACCTCACAAGAGGTCGATGGATGACAGAGCAGCAGCTTGCAACATGGCTCCTCGCTATGCCATGAACGAGCTAACAGAAGTCAACTACAACACTGGTGAGCAAAACAAGGACATGACAGATGCAAGACAAGCACGTGACATGAAGGACACACACACAGTTCTGAACCTCCATGTAAGAAACCCTTCTGCCAGATCCAAGCTTGCGCAGTGTCTCGACAGGGGTACATGCACACATTGATGTAAATGTTGACAAATGTTGACAAATCAAGACTATCGAAACACCATCTTGGCTTAAATGGATGGACAAACCACGGCTGAGTGCACATTCAAGAAGAGGGATAAGGCAATCACTTTGAGCACTCAATCATCAGTGAAGATTGGTGGCGGAGCAGTACAGGTGAATCCTCAACTACTTTTCCAACGACTCACGGTTGCTGCAAAAGCATCACGAGATCTGACATCAGTGTTTTATTATGAGTTGTGCAGTCATCCGCCAGCACTGTTTGGCACCTCACTGCTGCTTCGACAGCCACAGACACCAGTGATGGGCCCTCCTCACACCTGACCCTCCATGGATCACAGGTCAAGGTCAGTACGTGCTTGATGGTGGAACACTTGTTCATCGCATGAATCACATACAATTACATCTGCAGGTTGTACACTGAGTACGTCACAAGGAAGTATGGAGAGGCAATTGTTGTGTTTGATGGTTATGAGGTCCACCAAGGGCATGACACACCAGAGACGAAAAAGTGGGAGGACATGAGCAACCGTCACTTTTGATGAGGACATGCCTGTAACAATAAAGCAAGATGAGTTCCTTGCAAACAACACAAACAAAAAACAGTTTATCAGCATGCTCAGTATCAACCTGCAGAAGAAAAACTGCCAGACGTTTCATGCCCAAGGTGATGCTGATCTCCTCATAGTGCAAAAATCAGTGGAGTCTGCCACCAAAACAAACACTGTGCTCATTGGTGATGATACCGATCTGCTTATACTCCTAATCTACCATACCAACCTCGAGTCAAATGACCTCTTCTTCCAACCTGAGCCAAGGAAAAACACGAAGAACCCACTTGTCTGGAACATCAAGGCGCTCAAACAGCAGCTGGGTCCTAGTATGTGCATGCACATCCTCCTCATCCATGCGGTCATCGGGTGTGACACTACCACCCGCCTGTATGACATTGGACATAGCCAGTTATGAATTCCGTGAGAAAGCTACAGTGTTTGGCACACCGTCAGCTTCCACAGCAGATATTGTGGCAGCAGGAGAGAATGCATGGATGTGGTTGTACAATGGGAAGCCTGGGGAGGGATTCAACTCTCTACGGTACAACCGTTTGTGTGAGAAAGTGGAAAGTGGCTACTAGCTTTTACCATGTACAGCCACAGAGCCTACAATGTACCACCTACCTCAGCAGAGGCACAATTTCAAGTCTCCGTGTGTACTACCAGGTGCAGCAGTGGAAGGGAACCGTATATTAACTCCTGTCCCAAGACTGGGGTTGGAAAGAGAGTGATGGGGTGCTTTTCCCTGTTCAAACTGACTTACCAGCAGCTCCACAGGAACTCCTGCAGTCATCAAATGCAGCTGCAAGACATATTGTAGCAGCCTGAGATGCCCATGTAAGAAGCATAACATTGAGTGTTCTGTTGCATGTAGCAACTGCAACGGATCAGGGTATGCTAATTCATTTCTAGAGGTTGAATTCGAAGATCATTAAACAATGACTGAGCAACCAGAAAATGTCTGATATCTTAACAATTTATATTGCCTTATATAGTATTAAAGTGATGTTAATTGTCTTAGGAAGCGCACGACTTCTTATCGTTATGATTTATTATTTGTGTTGAACATCAGTGCATGCATTATTAACCCTTTCCCTCATATAGACGATTTCTGACGCCGGTGCACCAGACGGCCTTTTAAAAACATAGTGAAACAAGACGAAATTACTCAAAACGAGCAATTTTCTATTTTTTGACAAAACATGTTCAAAGTCGTCTGCTGCAGAATTGTCGTATGAGGGAAAGGATTTAAAGTATATATGTCAGACCATAATAAATGGATATAAATCATCAAGAGGTTTTATCAGAAGGCACTGGTCATCTCAATCATAAAATCAGACCATCTCCCTATTCAAATACGTGTATAGCATTAAATATATTGTTAGAATGTCGCTTAATATCCCATTTTAATGTAGCAAAAGATGGTACAAGAGTACGGTTCAGAAACCTTTTTTTTAAATACTTCACCACCTGGATTCCTTAGGGCTTTTTATTTGTTATAGATGACACATTTATGAGTAATAAACAATTGTCAGATATTCTGTTGCAATTTGTGTGAGGTTCATCCCTTATTTGTCGCAAAATGCCTGGACTAATTTGCATTGACGATAATCATTGGTCAAAGGTCAAGGTCATAATTACAATGTAACGATGGAATTACATAACCTTAATATTTAGTAGTAATCCAAAATGCAATTTGTCTTTGTCGTCCTGGGCCCGCATTCATAAAACCGTTCTCATGCACAGAATCCAGGCTTGAGCATGAGAACGGTTTCATGAATACGGGCCCAGGTGTAGAATGTTTTTCTACATTTACAAGGTTGAAGTGAATGGCGGTTCCATCCTGATTTCTGGCAGTGTTTTTAGAAAACAAAACCATTTAAATCCCAATTCGTATCGACACTCTTTTACTCAATGGTTAAACTTGTTTGTTTCTGTACATTGTCAGAGTATAGCATAACAAACGGACCATATCAAACATAGCCCGGGCCGTGGTTTGATTGACATTGCTTCACACCTATCGATAATAATGGCCACGATGAAGTTGGCTATACTTCTAATTTACCAAAATGTATGACAGCGATGTCTCGTAAGACGTGTGCTACGAGATCTTAATTACAGCACTAAGGCCCCGGGAACAGAAACCGTATTTCATGCCAATTCACATCAGAGTTAAGTCAGGTTGGAAACAACAAATAACTGTATAGTATTTTGTTGAAACAAAAAAACAAGCATTTATAAAGCGGAACCAGCTCCCTAAGATCACCAGTTAAACTACAAACAGAAAAAAACTACATTGCAGAATATGCTGTGTTTAATATAACACCCCGACGAACTTCATGTGCCGTAGTTCCAAGAAAAACCATACATTACGCACGAGGCAGATTCCAAATTGTGTGGTTTCGTTTTTCTTTGTGTTATTTAGAGAAAGTAGTGTTGCAGCGATGTCTCTCCCCACATAATTGTCGAACAAGGTAGAAACAAAAACTTTATAACAAGTGAATATATACAAAGTTTACATAAAAGTACCTTTCCTTGAACACTGGATATTGTAGGTTACTGGGAATGACATTCGGCAATAATTTGAGCGAATCTTGTTAAGAAATCATGTCACATAACATAATGCGAGTATACTTTAAAATAAAGTACCTGTTCTGAACTTTCATAAACCCCGACAATTTGAAATACAAATATTTTTAGACACTGGAAATATGGCGGGATTCATTTTGCCACGAGGCTATGCTAACCGCCCTAGAGCATATGTCATATTTTAAACAAACATAAAACTTTTTTTTTATTTTTTTATTATGCATTGCAGTTGAACTTGGTATTAATATATTTCAAACCTACCTGCCACACTGAGTGTGTAGTCTGGACTGTTAATTATTTGGTCAGGCAGGTTAAAGCTGGTACAGAACCACACGGATCCATGATCTCCCTCCTGTGGCTGTATGACCCACCGAAACACTGTACCACGTCCTTCAGTCGACGTGGTAACACAGGAACAGACATCCGGTGTACAGAGGTCGGGCGGGTTGTAACATTGACTACCAACTACTTTTACACTACCTACTGGAGTAGACACGTCAGGACGGCGGTAAAATATAACAGCAATGGCCTCATCTGGTACGTCACACGTCAAAGTAAAGTCACTCCCGGGGATAGCGTACTCAGACGACCCGGCTAGTGTTACAGCATCTGTCATGATAAAATAAACGGGTAGGTGTAAACTAATCAATTAAGTTTAAAATTAATTGAAGGTTCGTGTTTTGAAAATAATGTCTTCACCAAAAGTCCGATTAAAAAGCATAATTTGTATAAAATCATACATGTTATTAATTTCTGAAAACTGTATAACGCAACAATAAGGGTGTCATACTAGTTTTTAATGTGTGTCATCAACATTGCGAGTAATTTCAACGAGGAAAAACGTACATTATACCGCAAAAATGTGCCAGTTACCTGGCAATTAACAGGTACTTGGTAACAGGTAAGAATGTTTTGTTTACATGATATCTGCGTGTTCATTACGTACGTGTATATTGTCCTATATCTACACATAATGTATTTCTTAACAATTTTGGTATTTGATATTTCAATTACTGTTTGATAACCATGCAAATCTGGCTAAAGTATGTGTTATGGATATGGAATGGCTAGTCAGTGGAACCTGGATTAGATCATGAAATATACTTATGTCATCGTGTATTCCCTCGGTCATCTTGTTACCAAAAGCTGAATTTTGCAGACTGAGTCTTGAAAACGCAAAGTCAAGTTAATCAATATAAAAAATGTAAATAAATGAATGAGAAAATTTATAAATGTAGTTGTTCGTGTAAACACGTGAGATTGCGTGAGACGGGATGTCTATGTACGTCAAAATGTCGTCACGGAATCACTTCCGTTCGACCATGCCGTAATTTCGCGAGAACAACACTAGAACTATGTACAGACAATGAAGTCGTCTATAAAAACAACTCCGATGACAAAGACAAGGGGGGATGTTGTTCGTGAAAACATTCAAATTAGCCTTAGTTACAAGCTAACCGTTGGGACATACGATAACATTAGCATATTTCAAAGGTGGTAACTTGTTTTTTGGTTTTGTTTCATTGATTTTATATTGTAGTATCTTACTGACTGTTTATCTGTTTTATATGTTGTGATGTATAAATGTTCATTTTTTGCCTTGCAAAATGAACGGATTGCCTTGAAAAGTTCGCAAATACCTTTGTCAAAACTGTTGCTATTATTGCTTTGCTTATAGATCTATTTCCGTAATACGTATCCAACGAACATTTGTTTGTTCTGATATAAAAAAAACACCGGAAACTTTTGCCCATCTTGATCATTTTTATGCCTCGGGATCATAAGACAATCTTAGCCAATCACATATGACGTTACTTTCCATGACACCATTTGTTATTGACTAAGTCAAACGTAAGACAATTTAAGACTTATGATCGTTTCATTAACTAGAGGCCAGGCGATTTTAATTTACTGGAATTGTGTCGCCATCAATTAAATTCACATACTTACGACGTCAAAAGTGATGACGTTATAAAAATGCACATAATGATGACGTCTATAAATAGTGACGTCTTTAAAGATTACAATGAATGTACTTGCGTTATATGTCGATAATATTTACGGAAAAAGAAACGGACCATGCTAGATATGCTCAAATGAATACCTCGTTCCAAATTCATCGTTAAAACCATCTGATAACAATTAGATATATATCTCAGAACCTAATAATGTGTTCATCTGAGCATCTCAAACAGACGGAATTTGAAAATGTATACTGATAAGAGATGCTCAAAATGCGTAAAGGCCTTATTTTAGAATGTCTATTGACATTTCTATTTTAATTTTCTTTTAATAATATCTGATACATTCGTGAAACTAAAATCTGATAATTTAAAACATCATTTCGATTGGTGTTTACCAACAAATCCCATTAGTTTTTGTCTGTTGGAAATCAACTGGCATACGTTGACTTAGTTATTTTCCAGTTTAATCTATTTAAAATTCAAAGCATTTCCTACAAATTACTGTATATTTCACATTATGAAAAAATCTTTTTACACAACTAATATAATTTCCTGTGTGACGTTTCGATGACTAGTACGATATGTACACTGTCACCTCCATCAAACAAATGGCCAGTGAAGCGAATGCACACAAAGGTGTACATTGTGTACGAGTTGTCCACACACATCGATGTCGATTCGGCTACGCTGTCAGCGTATGTTCAATAGTTGTTATATATGTATCGAAATGACTCAATAATACATACCTATCAACCCGAAGAAATGTTTTGAAATGTGTATTCTACTGTTTTGTCATTCTCGAAAGCAAACGAATAGCATTGAACAATCATGCTACATGCTCCACGTTTCGGGCTCAACGTCTCGGGTTCATAATCATAAAACATTGTTGACAACATGAATACAATCTCAAGCGTGGCTAACTTTTATGAATCTGAGATGCTGTAATTGTAATTCAGTGTACATCATATCCACCGGTAGGACATGTTTACTTGTGCAACTCTACTCTATGAATGACAACCAACACACATGTAGTTCAGCGTAATTATACATAACGTACACCCTAAAAGGAAGTGTCATCTTTATTGGAGACATGAATGATTTTCAAGCAAAGATAATCTGTTATCTATTATTGCTCTTAATGAACCCTTTTCAGACAGGTAACTAACTGTATTTATATATCGGCCATATTCTGACTGAATGAAATATATTCGGTCTGGTCGATCAGTTTGAACTTTGAAGCATTATCCTGGCATTTGATCCTTAACATTTTAACTTCAAAAATAACGAAACACGGGTCTTTACGCAACATTAGAAACAAGTACATATGTAAGAGGATACACTTAGTTTTATACAGATACCTGAAGGAGATATATCGTGTGAGTTAATCAATGTCTACATAAGCGATAATTGTGTCTGCTATAAAATTGTTGGAAAATTATATTATCGATTAATTTCATGACATATACATTGAATAAGAGTGCTAAGAATTGTAAATATTGTCATACCTATTTTTTTTTAATTTTAAACAAGGTAGCAGTGACGTACTTTTAATATATAAGACGTTGAAATTTACTGTCAGGCACGTTTCTAACAAATATCTGTTTGATTATGTTCAATTATACAGTTTACGAACTTTTTTGCCGGTGTAACAACACATTCAGATATATTATTAGCAAATATGTTGCGTCAGATGTGTACATTTGTAAACGGAAGTTGCTACACGCTCGACTAATAAGTATGAAAATAAATATCACCGTTTCACTCATAAATATGATTTTGATATTTTTTTCTCCCACCCTTCACATGTGTGTCTCCCGTTTTAGCCGGGACAGATCAGCTTGTCACCCTCTAAGGGGATTAGCACGAGTTCAATTGTGACGTCATTAAAATGCGTCATCGGCAATTGTGACGTCATCAAAAGTGAATGACGATATGCATAGCCCATATGTAAACAAACATGGCAGACTACTGTCGGTGGAACTGTGACTGAAATTATAGGATGGGAGAAAAATATTCATCCCTTACCTTGAGGGAGTAACAGAGAAATATCCAACCCTCGGGTTGGACAACCCCTCGAGTTGGATATTTCTCAGTCAAACCCTCAAGGAAGGGGAAGTTTCTATCAATCAATGAATAAATGGCAATATCGTAGGATAAATGTGGAATCGATGAAAATCATTGGAAATACAGAGAAAAAAAAGTGTAGCTAGAAAGCATTGACTGACGTCGATACCACTGACTTTGTAGAAACTTTAAGGACAGCTCAGTAATTAATTCACGTTCATTCCCAGTGAAAATTGGTGCACGAGGTAGTTGATATTACAGATTGTCCAACAAACGATTGATCCAAAACATAATGAGAACAGTAATTGCGCAAATATAAACCTAATAAAGAGTAATAAAGCGTTAATCTTTTATCATTTTACCATTATTTCGTTGTCCGCAAGGATAACTTTTTTCATAGTTTAGACTAGGTTGTCCATCTTGAGACTTCTTAGCAGATTCTATTTGATCTGATGCGTGACGTGATATGTTATGTACGGATACTTTTGAAGACGAACATTATGACATCCTAATACATGCATATCTATTAAAAATGAAACAATGAAGCGAAACAAATAGTGACGTCTTATCATCATAACATTGATTTTACTTGCATTTAATGCGTCAATTAAATATACGGAAAAAAATACGGAACAATGTTAAAATTATTTTATAACAAATAGATATTAATATAAATTCACTACATTTAATAAAAATCAACATAATAACCCCGTTAATAAACCCTTAATTTTAGTGGAAAATAAACAAACCGAATAACTCATCGTATGGCCAATTACATTCTTGTATTGACATTCAATTGATGACGAAATATGCAGCAGATATTGGAAACTCATTACATAGAGTGCCTTTATCTGTACGAGGGTATGTGTGTGTATGATATATGCTACAATGAATATACATAGTATATAAGCAAAGAAGTGCATATAGTGACGACAGTGCAGACAAAGGAGAATTCCATTGTCTGCACTGTCGTAATTACTTCTGTATTCATATATCTTTTAAGTAATACGTATCCAAACTAATTCTGTTTGTTCAGATTATGTGTCAATCATACTGTCATTATTACTTATATACAGTTGTGCATATAATAAGTTCGTTTTTCGATGGTTACACTGTAACACAGAATGTCATTATTATCTAACAATGATAATAACACACGCACAGATCATAGAAGCTGTACTTCATCTAGAACCCAACATACTCTACTTTAGGCATGTAAATCAAGCAAAAAAACGAAAAAGTCCTGTTGATGACCCGACCACAACCAACCGTCTATGGAACATGCTAGCTAACTACTAGCTGAGCCATTTCGTCCTATTGTGTGTACAGATATGAACATTTTTGCTACGAAATACGTCATTATAGTTAGTTTTACTGTCAATACACTCAAGTTATACACATGTTTGACTGATAGTTATCAGTCAGTCGGGGTTATTTAGTAGTCAAGTCACAACACAGCAAATAGTGTACGTACCTGTCGTTGATAGGCTTGTCAGAAGTAAGATCAACAGGTAGAACGTATGTCCAATGTGAGATACAAATACACTGTGTTTTTGTAAGTTAATACCAGACATCTCTCTGGTTAACATACGTCCATATGTTTATTTGTAATGATTACGAACTTCCTGGTCGGTGTTTTCCACTTAACATAGCTAAACAAGGTACATACTATAAATGTCCTTGGTCAATTGTATACGGGACTAACTGGCCGATACTTGTATCTGATAAACAAGGGTACAAAGCGTAATGTCTCATGGAAATCAATGATGCCGTGTAGTTCTTTATTTAAGGTCTAGCATATGAGCATTAGATTAGTTAATAGGTTTCGTTAAACATGTTAACAAAACTAATATATCCATTTTGTTACACTATATTTGCGTCTGATAAATGTCGTAGCAACTTATTAATCAGCTTTCTGTTGTAATATTGTTATTCCGAGATAGGTTTCCAAAGTACATGGGCATGCAAGGTGGGACTAGTGACCAAATATTTTAATTGAATCCGTTGAAACATTAAACATGGACTGCTGTGAAGAAATAATACACATGCACGTATCTATGAATAACTGTTTATTTCAAAACAAAGGGCAATGTAATGGATTAAAGGTGAGTACACTTGCATATTGAAAGTCGCTCTTACATCATATGTTCTAGTGTGTTGTTCATAATGTAAGCATGTAAAGTAATAACAAGAGCGTCAACAAGCCGAAATGAGAAACCCCAATATCACATCACGGCACGAATATGTTCCGCATTGTATAATAAAATGAATAAAGGGAATTGCGGGTGACTAAACATTTTACAAATTGAAGATAGAACCAGTAGTTGGTAAGTATAGACTTGAATCCTGGAAAGTATGTCTAATAATCATTTGTTGTTGGTTTTACTTTTCATCTTCTCCTTCAGTGACCGTCTCTGTAATGCAAATTAGAAAAAGTATTGTGTTGTGGCTAATTAGCCTACATCCGTGGCACTGCACGACCCTGTATACATTTTACGGAGGCTCATACTTTTTTGTTTTATTGAGAAATAGTCACAAATATATGTCGTATCAAATACTTTCCTTTTGACCGCATGTATGTGATCATTTGCAGATGCAGATGGTCAGAATGATTATTGGCAGTATAACCTGCTGTGTATACATCTTTACCTTCAGCATTAACCGCGCAAATCACAGAATATATGGAAGGCTCGGCAATCGCCTACGTGTCGATCTGTTCGTATTCCTCTATGTCAAGATATATACTTAACAGATATATATATATAGACGTTGTGTGTTAAGCACAAACATTGTTCTTACAGTAATCAATATTCTGCTGTTCTAAACGATGAACATAAGGCGCTAGCTATACGACCAACATATTTGAATGTTCTTTTGTGTTAAGATTTGTAAATGTGTATGAAACGTGTATCAGGTATTTAGCCCTTCTGTTAAAATAAACACTTTCGATCAAACAAATGAATATATTGTATGCGTTTATTACAAAAATAGAAATGACATATTTAAGTCTTCTTTAAATAAAACATGTATATATAGTATATACATGTACATATATGCATATGCAATACAGAGATAATTACGTATTCCTAATTCGAAGTCTACAATTCCAGTATACTTTCCATAATGAGAACAATATCCAAAGGAAAACATAATCATATTATCACTGCTTTTTACTAGGCTTACCTTAAAGGTATGGGCGCGTCCTGAGTAACTGAATAATTGATAAAACCTAGGTTTAAATAGGTAGAAATATCATTAAAAAGAAGACATCAGTTCACATACTATTATTATTCCTTAGAATTGTATCCATTCCTTGTTATAGAATATGTTTTCACTGATAGGAATGCTACATTGACGTTTCTATATACACACCTTACTTAATTTTGTACAAATGCCAAAATATTGCATCTGACTTTTTATTGATTTGATTGTCTGTATACATTTATATGCAGCAGACTGCTAGTCTCATTTTTGATGGAAGTGACTTCTGGGTAAGCATGCATACTTACCGTTAGTATTTCCTACGCCAGTCAGGGAATAAACTAATGGCTTGGCTATCGCAGTCGTGGCGATCCGCTCGTAATCCTCTCTGTGAAATGAATATGCATATATATCAATATCACAAATAGCCCTTCTCCGACACGGTATACATATCTGTTCGAATTAAAAGGATGACAGTGCATTGATAATGCTACGAAACCAATTAACAGTTTACTGCTTGGTTGTGTGATGCTGTGTGGTTATATTTCACAACTAATTTAAAGCTTGCTTTCTTATGACTCTAATACGCTTAAACAAAAACATATTATTTACCAACATTCAGTTTTGCATTTAACTAGTCTCGTATTCATATAACAGACATTTTCATAATTGATAATTCAAAACCTGTACATGTGCTTAATTTGTCCTTCTATTTCTCGTTTATGACTTTAAAATAGCAGATGCACATGACTTTGTATTCATCTACGTACTCCCGGTTCTCAAAAGATATTTTAAATCAATATTGTTTTCGTGAGATATATCGTCTTCCCTTAAGTTTTTTAAGTCTTAAGTCTGAGATTCGTTTGGAGCCTTTCGTAAAGAGTCATGCGCTGGGTTTTAATTTATTAAGTACAGGTTGAAACATCATTATGTGGATTAAAAACAATGTGGTGATAACATAATTAGTGAACTATTCCATAAGATATGACTGAATACCTAATGCTGTTAAGCAGAATAATGTAACAAAAATGACTGTTTTTAAACATTTATCTTACTCTTACTACACTAAACCCTACCTATTACTTTTCGTGTTCTTCTAACCGTATTATTGCTGCAAGTGGAAAATAATATGTCACAACTTTGAGATCATGATGTGCACATGGACACGTATTATCCGATTGTTAAATTATAATCGCACGAAAAATACCAATCTGACCTGTTGTAAACTTTGTGGTTATAATGTTCTTAAATTATACCATAATTGTCACATATTTCCGCTGATTGATTCATAATGATGACGGTGGCCTTTTTAATAACCAATTGTAAAATTAAACAATACGCAATTTTGCCATGCCCACCAACGCTCATGTGTGGTTTCATAAATGCATTGCCAGTATTTAATGAGAAAATGCCAGGAAATCGTATAAGAAAAAGAAGAAAAACAAATATGACGAAGAATATTCAGCAAAACCAAAGGTCCCCTAATTCCTTTGAGGGACTTAAAATCTTTCTGTCATCTGTATCTGATTCATTGAAACTGGATTGGTATCAGCAGGATAATAATGATAGACTCACCATTACATGTTTAACACATCTATGTATTTCGTATCAAAACTTGGTTATTCTTAAACCGTTATTGCCCTTGCTATAAACGTATATATTTACTACTCGTTATATATTTTTTCAAAATTGGTCATTACTTGTATTTAAGTTTGAACATGTTTTGGCACTTTGCACTTTGCACAGGAAGGAGTGTATCTTAATGCACGTTGATTAAGGGCTGATTGAGTTATCTAGACTGCACTCACAATTTATAATTACACTTGTACTTGTAGTTGACATCCCTACAATATTCTAAGCAGTACACTTGTATGTTCCGTGTTCTGATCTGTCAAGTTATCCCAGTGACAACACAGCTGAGGCAGTAAAGTGAGTGCTGTCAGATTTCGCCCATACAGCGCTGCAGTCAGGTCTACAGAAGGTTATACAAGTGATATCTGGCAGCGTGTCTCCTTCCATTCTGGTAGTTGACAACTGAGAAAGGATGATGGATGTGTCTGGGATCCTCTATAATATATTGCCATACAAAACATAAAAAAATAAAATTTAATTTGGTCTTACTAAACTGCCAAATTGTATTTACCTGAATTTCAAATGGCAGACATAGGTGCCATACTTTGACATTTCTGTGTCTAGTCATCGTTGACTGGTAAAGTATTGATTACATATTGGTTAGATATTTCAAAATTTCTTTTATATTTCACTGTCAACTGCTGAATTTGTATAATCAATTGAACCCAACGTTCTGTTTTTCAAATCCCTGTTTTTAAGCATATATCCAATTTACCCTACAGATTTGCACGAGCAAATGTTCACCTATTTTCCTACGACAATGTTCAGCTTCCAAAATCAAGTAACATTTTAAAATGCTTGTCTCTTTTTTTACAGGTTGATTTAAGTTTAGTAGATATTTCATTTTCAACTGTCAAACCTTAGTTGTAGTCCTGGAAACTTTCGCTCAGTCAAATATTGGTCCATGTTCACTCAGTGCTTATTTTGCCCATCACTAAGTGGGTATGCTTTATTACGCTAAATTCGCCGTTATTGCGGAGAACAAAAAAGACGAAAATAAAACTGCAGTGTAGATTTCCCGGTAAACAGCGTCCTTATAAAATGACGAAGGCCATTAATTTTAAAATATGGGCAGCTAGTCAAGTTTTACTAATCTGGATGGTTCAGTTACTCAGAAAAAGTAGGTTGAATGTTCTTTTTTAAGGAATTTGATCCCTAAGACATAACAAGTGGTTTAAGGCCATATTCAACAAGCTAACATGTCACCCGCCAAATAGTTTCCCCTATGCCTCTTGATTATTTAGAAGATTCCAATTACATATTTATCATGCACTCCATGAGATCTTGAATGCTGTCATTACTTTTAACCAAATTGAAAGCCATGTACGCAAATTGCGTCCGGTCATACATCATTAACCTATGACTCTTTATTACTCAGAAAATGATTTAAAAATAATTAATACGTTTCACCCCTGTGACCTTTCATATAGATCTGGGTCCTTGAACAACCTTGACTCCCTTTGTACATGATTGCCGGACAAGTCCCATCATCTAAGGTCCCTTGGTCATTCGAAAGAAGTTGTTGAAAAAATGTGTTTGTCATTTAGAAAGCTCCAAATCTAGCAACTTACACAAACTTATTTCATTTTGCAATAACCGTCGTGGTCTATGTACCGTCATGTTTAGATATAAGATAACGCAACTCCGTTCTTGCCCCGTCATAACACATTGTCTGAAATAGACTAATATCCAGAAATTGCAACTCCCCTGCCAAACAATAAAGCTGAGCAATGTCAACGTCCGTGCATCAATTTTCATGAGTTCACTAGTTTCAAGTGAATAATCTTGCT